CTTCCCTCCTCCTCCTCAAGAGCTGCGCTCTAATTCGGCGTTACAGGGAGTTGTAAACGGCTTTCATTTTTTTCTACTCACTCTTTGGACGCATTCGAACGCCGAACGACGGTGTCCGGATGTTCGGATGTTCGCGTTCGAACGCGTTTGTAGGGTGAGTAGACACAAAGGCACCTAGCTTTGCGCCTACCCAATAATCATTCCAGACAGAGCTCGGCCCTCAGTTTATCGTGAATGTTGTGAACATGGGTCTGCATCCGCGTTCGAGATATTGCATCGACAGATGGCCTTCTGTTGATGAAGAGCCTGTTCATCCAACGGGATTAAAGGCTGCTATCAAGCCGCGTGTCGCGTTGACGCTATATTATTTGCAATAACTCCTTTACTGGTGGGCGCGCGGAGCGATTGGATACTGTTGCTGGCTCGTCGTGTAATTTATTTGCTCGCTCTTAACCTGTGTAACCGACTATAAATTCACTATGCTTCTCTAAGGCGAGAATTTACGAAAAATGGCAGGATAAATATTGCTTTTTAGGACGCGTCGTATATTGCCCCATATCGAGTACCACGACACAAGGCCAGATAGCAGCCATGTTGAATTTCAGGTTGAACGCATCGGCGAGAGAATGTGTAGTATCAGGAACACGTTGCTATATTTTGAGTGAAGAAACGCTATATTGAGAAATTCGCGATTACGGTATAATACGAGCGCCCGGCATAAAACAAAAAAGTAATCAGAACCGTTAATGTTCTCCTTAGCTTGTGCCGCAAAATGAGAAACCTTACGCAAAGCGCGAGAAAAATAGTCGAGACGAAAATCATCGTCTTCGCTATACTTGACTTCGTCACACTGTTAATGCATCGTAGAAAAGGCTGTCTACAGACACTCTCTAGAGCGACATCTTTCTTTCACATCGGCCGCACAATATCTCTCTGCAGACATAAGTATACATACGGACCAACACACTGTTTATAAACTAGCCCGCATTTGCCTACACCGGGTGTGGGCAAATTGCGCGTGCGCAGAAACCACGATCGCCTGAGGCATCTGCGCATGCGCAGTGTCGACAGCAGCGCCACCGCAGCGCCGTGACGATGCGCTTTTGGTGCTGCTTGATTGACTCCGAAGGATCGTGGGGCAGCCTGCGGTCGGACATAAAGTGAAACGAGGTGTACAAAACCTGAATTTTGTTCCACAGGCACGCGTCGTGACTTATCTTTCTAACATTAAATTCTCGGAAATCACGAAGCAACAAAGCTTGCCAGTTTTTGTCATTTCGAACTCGTCGTCATCTCGACGGATGCGTCTACAAAAACACGACCAGAAACGATAAACTGCTTGGAAACATTTCGGGGAAGCTTGCAGCTGTTTGTTAAATTTTGTTTTGTATGTCTACGCAGAATAGCCTTTTTCATGAGCGCTTTATTACCAACATTATAGTCAGGTGCAACCGACATCGTCGCTCGTGTGCAAGCAAACATACGTCACTCTTTTTTACGATGCAAACAAGACAATGAATTTGAAAAAAAAAAAAATATATATTCGATGGGCTGTGGTGGAGATTTCGGGTGATTTCAATTCGATTTTAGGGCTTATTATTACGGGAATCTGAGCTCGCCAAGCGAATACGTACCACGCTTAAGTCAACGGCAGTATCCATCGCCCGCAGCAAACGAAGCGCTAAAAAAAAGAGGCCGTCCTCTCGGTCCCTCTTTCCATAAATGATCTCCGAATCTTCTAAAGGTAACCAAAACCACAACCTAGAGACGTGATCTTTACGTGGAATCAAGTTTATTGTCTTTCAAAGGCCACGCCTTCTCTGGCAGTGAACATTTGAGACAAGTCTCTCTGGTTGGGGAGCAACAATCATAATAAATAAAGATATCCACCAACCAAATCCTTGTTTAAAGCGGGGAACCCTACGTTTCGAGAACTGCTTGGTCTCTTCTTCAGGGGTTGACTGTGGCAATGGCCGTTGAGGAGCAGTATTTTGTTTTCTTCTTCCACGGCGGTGTCTTCCGTTTTGCATCGGTTAGTGGCGAAGTCCGTTCACGTAGACGGTGGGCAGAGTGCCGAAGAAACTGACAGCCCCAGCTATTATGAGAGGCCTGATGCCGGTGGGATATAACATCTTAAACAGTTAAATTACGTATCAGAGACTACAGAAAAAAACACTGAGGTTTTTCAATGGGGCCAAGAAAACCCCGATTGCGTTTTTGCAGTCAGTCACACGCAGATTAGCTATTTTAATGAGTAGTACAACTCGGCTATCAAGCCGCTCGTGAAAGTTGGTACCGTCGGTTCAACGTCAGTGCGCAGTACGTCCAACTGAAGTGTTGGGATGTTGTATATGTAACAAGGGGTCTGAGAATATACTTTTTTTTTTCTGTGTGAAGAGCTGGAGCCGGGAGGGAGGAATAAGGCCAGCAGTATCTGGATCAGTCTGTTCTACGGTTGTATATGTTCAACTTATTTTTCCCTCACGTCCGATGGGCAGCCTCACGACTGCACACCGGTTTCTCGGGGGCTGCAAGGCGCACCAGGAGGCCCTTTGGGTCTTACGACCTCATCTGATGACTCATTCGGACAAGCCTAAGCCTCGTGACGGTCCTCCCACCGAATGCCGTAAAAAAGATGCTTATGTCTCGGATACACCGCGCCTGTGCCTTATCCCAGCAAAACGCCGAAAAGAAACAGAATACTGAGACGGTGAAAGCATCTCCTCAGAATCCACCATCATCACCGACGTTCGCGAAGATGGCGAGATAATGGATGACTCGCCTGGCAGCGAAGATGGCTTTACCTTTGTGGAACATCGCCGGAAAAGAAGCACTGGAGTACCAGTACTGCTAGTCCCGAAGGATGAGACTTGCCGCCTACAGCAGCGGAACATTTTGCACCTAAGCAGTGCGATCCATGCAACTACAGGCGGAAAAGTATTGCGCCATCATTTCACAGCACACGCAGGACTTCGCCTCGAAGTCACTAAACAGGATCCCGCCAATCGAGTGCTGAAAATAAAAACGCTCTGCGGTGTTGAAGTTCAAGTGTCCGTGTCCACCGTTTACCTTCAGAATTGCGGGCTTACAAGGGCGTTCCCCGGTTATATTCTGCCACCCAGTTGTTGAATTACCTTGCACCACAGGGAGTCATCTCTGTCCGACGTCTCTTTTAGAGGCATTGTCAACAAGGATCCCCAGCTACACCGACAGATAAGGATTGGCTAACCTTTCGTCCGAACACCAAGAGACCAGCCCAAATAAATCTGGGCTTTACAAGACTCAATGTAAGTAAGCACGTGGTGCACTACCACGCTGCTTCTATTTGCAAGGTCATAGGCCACGTTGCAAAATAATCCAGGAAATAAACCAAGTACAAGAAATGTGGAAGTCAACACCACATAACTTGCTCAAAATAGACCGACGCCACATGCGCCAACTGCGGGGTTCCACGTTCCGCAGCCTACGTAAGCTGCAAGGTACGACTCCCAGCACCTGTCACGTACAAAAACATTTCTTCAAAAAGTCAAATTGGGGGTTTTACGTGCCGAACCAACGACGGGCATCTGGCACGCCCCAGCGGAGGACTTGGGATTAATTTGGACTACGTGGGGATATTTTGACATGCAACCGAAAGCTCGGTTACATGGCGCCTCCGCAATAAGCCTCCGTCAGATTGCGGGCACGTCGGCCGGGACTCGAACTCGCCAAATGGGGATCCGTAGGCCAGCGCTCTCGCCTCAAAGCCGCCAGAGCGACTAAAAAAAAAAAAAAAAAAATTTTTTTTGAGGCCTAAATTCAAGGAAAGAAGCAGCACATTTTACAGCAGCTCCAGGTGACTTTCCGGCCCTCCTTTCAAATGATGATGTCTCATCTCAGAAACCTCCCAGGTACCGCCGCCAAAGAGGAAGACAAAGAGAAACTCGAAGAAGTCTGCGTCGCAGGGCTCTGCTTCGGCTATATCAGATAAGACCCCTAACATGAATGACCAACATGCTGGATGATAACAGCAAAATGCGGCACCCGAAGGCCTTCGGAGCTTCAGAAGCGTCTTGGCGAGTAATCCAGATCAGAAATCAAAGACGACAATAGATATGCCAACTTTTCTACCCCTCCCACGACAACAACTGACAGTTCAAAGAACACAATTGTAAGGATTGTCTTTACAACTATTAGGCATGTCATGGAAAGTCTGCGAGAAGGACAAGTTAAAGCTGCCCTTAAGGGCGTATTCTGCTTAGGAGCCCCTCTTTCGCTTTAATCAGGAAACTGACTTCCATCAATGTTGACAAACAAAAACAACTGGTAATATATCAAGGCCGCACGGATTACGTTGTACCCACGACGTGTCGACTATACTCCGTTTCACTTTAGGTCCGGCCGCAGCCGACGCTACGTTTCTATGCATCCAATCAAAAACCGCCGTCACTGCGCTCATCGCCTTTGTGTGGACGTAAAGTGAGACGGTCGGACTTGAGGTGAAACGGATCATAGACGTGACTAACTAACTGAAAAAGTGAAACGCAATACGATGGGCATTTATTTTGAGGTTATCCCCCTACATTAGCTAGTTACTTGGCCATTCCGAAAGTACCCAAGAATGCGGTGGCTAGTGTAAATGTTCGCCAATGTCTACAAACCTTTCGTTCGCTGCACACGCCGTGTGAGGGAAGATGAGTAGGATAATTTGAAAAATATTTGCGTTTGTTTAATTAGCGTATGCAGTTATATAGAAATGTATTCTACATATTCGAAATCCCATGCCTGCTTTAGGATCCACTTTATCAATTTTAGAGTGCTGAAATTGAAACCAACGTACTTCGCATTGAAACCTTTCAAGCGCTAAATAGAAGCAACATGATCGCGAGGAAATGTTACGGTTAGCTTCTGTTTTAGGATTTCAGTAGCTGTTCGGCTTTAGTGCATATTCTCGTACAATTCTAAAAAAACAAATATTTCAATTTCATAAAAATCCGAGTCATCGTAAGCACCATAGAGCCTCAGTCACACTGCCAAAGATTCATGATATCCGAACCCTTCGTTCGTTCTTTGATGGCAGCCTGCATCTTCTCGATATTTTCAGGGCTGAAATGCTGCTTCCAATCTCCCACGACTCCCTTGCGAAGGATATGGACGTCGGTCGATTGGCAAGACTCCTGGTTGCTGACAACCTGGGGCGGCTGAAGGTGTGGCGAGTTTGTGGCAAGAACCTTGAGGACCTCTTTGGGGCTTGTCCTCATTATATTCTTCATGAAATCCACGGTGCTCTTCTCGAGAACTTGCACAAACACGTCCTGGTTTTCTTCAAGCACTCTCCTCTGTTCTTCGCCTAAAAAGCCGGCCAACCGTAGGACAACTTCTTTTTTGTTTCTCTGGAGCTCTTCGTACGTAATGAAAAACACGTTCGGGTCGTCTCTGTGACTGTAGCCAGAGAGAATATGCTCAAAGTAGTCGCCAAAACCAATCTTTGCGTTGAGAAACGCGTCTAAAAAGTCGTCGAATGCTCCGTTGATGAACTTCATGCCGGGACATTCTCGTGCAAAGTGGTAGCACGACACGCAGCAATCCCAGGGGTTCCGTGCCACGTAGATGTACTTTGCCTTGGGTCTGAGGCGAAGTTTGCTCATTGAGAAATGGGTCCGGAGGAGTCTGGGGGATGAGGTCGACCTAACTTCCACGACCTCGAGGAAAGGCGCCCTCTCAAGGGATTCATTGTACGTTTTCACCGACACCCCCTTGGACAAGATCAGCTGGACGATTTGCTGCATCCAGTGTGACCCAGATCTGGGGTACGACACCTGAAAAAAGAGGAAAGCAATTGAGCCAAAAAAGATGTTCGAGGACTCGCTGGAATAGTAATCTCAAACCATGGGGATCGTTTGCAATATAATGGCGGACGCCGTCTGCGGAGTTCGGTCGAAAGTGCAGATGCGCTGCGTTGTCGCGTGACTAGAAGAAAAACAGCCGGAAAGACGGAGACGCTTGTGGACGATCAACGCTTTTGCCACCTCCTCGCGCCTAGCACTGTAAACGCGGTCCATAAAACGAGGTGACCCTGATCAAGCAGTGCAAAACTCTCTGTTCTCTCGAAGAAAGGAGTCGAGGCACACTCGAGCTAACCAGCCTTGTACACGTTACTGAGAAAAAGTAACCAAATAAGATTACTCATTACTCGCCAGAAAAGTAACTAGGTACATAACTCGTTGCTACTATTCAAAAAGAACGCGTTACTTGAGCTCATATGTAAGGAGTTACCTTTTTTGGTTACTCCGGAAGTGTTGTTTTTCTGAAGCAGTCGCCGACTCATAGTATTTTGCATTGCGTTAACGCAGCCATGGGCACGCTTTTTATTTTCTTGCTGGCGCTCTTTTTTTCCGTGCAGGTCGAAGGAGGCCTCTTAGATGAAAACCACATAAGGTAATTTGTGCCGTGAACGCTCCCCTCCACAAGCGTCTAAATACCATTACTCCGTGATCTATCCACACGTAACGAAGGTACGTTACTTGTTTCCTCTCTCGAAAAGTAACCAAGTCGTTACTTCGCTACTAAAGGAAAAGTGACAAGACAGATGTAAGGCGTCACAGTAACAGATTAGTTAACCAAAGCTGAAATTTGTTTTATTGACTTTTGAGAGGTGATCATCTACACAAGACGCATAGTTATAGTTGCAGGTAGAGAAGAATACGTAGTTTTTTAACTTCCTTATCTACGCATAGAGAAAAAGGTTTGAACAGCAGTGGAGCCTTTATTAAACGATGTTTCGAGAAGAGACTTCCCTTCTTCAAGTGAAGAACTCTGCAGAAAGGAGATGACCAGTAGTTAAACTCATATATGATTAATTTTTCCTGGCTCAGCAGTAACCTTATTGAAGCCTCAAAAGAACGCGCATTGGTCATTCAGGACGTCCATTGAAACTTCGTGGAATGTGTCTGTCATTAATATTTTTTATGAAACAATCGCGGCGATCTTTTATTATGCATTTATACGTTCTTCATGAAACTACCATATTGCAACAAATAAATTGTTGCGCGTAAGACTTTCTTATGCCATTTAGTGTTACCCAGATGAAAAGTTTAAAAGAAATGTAATATTACTAAAGAGACACACACACTAGTTACCAGGATGCACCAGATCAATATTTTATTGACACGAAAGACTACAGGAACATTTAGAAATAAAAAATGCAACGCCCTCATTGACGTGCATAAGAAGTATAAATAAATTTGCCAAAGCTACGACCCACTCAAGCAACTTCTAACATAATGGTATAAAACTTTTAATCAATTAGAGATAATTACACTTCCGCGAAGAAAAGTCTGAGTGAACCTCCTAGTTGCGTCAACCATTTGATTTATACGTGGAACAATCTCAACGCGCTTGTCAGGTAGTTGGCCTCATGATAAGATATAAGTTATAACCCGCAAAAGAAACAAAAAATCCTTACCTGTATAATATCTCCCTCTTGTGGTTCAAAGGTTGGGACTTGTCGGTAAAGAGCGGGGCTGAAGTAGATGCTGCATGGTTCACCGTCGATGTACTGAGTCACTGGGCAGCGTCTCGGTGTGCTCATGTCTGAGTATAGCTTTATGGGACGCCCCAGCTTCAATTAAAAAAAACCTATGGGTGCAAAAAACAACAACAAAACATGCCAGTCACAATTGATCCATACGAAAACGTGAACTTTATAAACGAGCCCGCGATTGCCCACAACATATTCGCGGAAGGTGAATCGTCTGCGCCTGGGCGGTGCCCACAGCGGCGCTGTCGCAGTGGCGCATTAGTTTATGTTTCTGCATTCGTTTTCCAACGTTCATTTTGGAAAACATCACCGTGTCAGCGGAATTACGGGGCGATGTAAGACGCTAAAAAATTATCATGCCCCGCGTTTAAAAAACTGTTGGTTGACTTTGCGGAGCGGAAGTTGGTCTGCTTCTTGTACATGAGTTCCGATGATGTCAGAACATCGAGCAATTATTGGCTGATAGAAACAAATTAGTTGGTAAACCTTGAGACATTTAACATTGAGGTCCAGCCACTATCCTTCCAATCAAAGCCAATCAGAACTCGGCGTCATTCTGACGTCACCGCCACTCATGCGCAAGAAGCGCACGCAAGAAGAGGCGCAAGAAGCTTGGCAGATCGCCACGAGGAGCGGCCGCCGAAATGGAAAAGGTGGAGCGGCAGAAAACGGATGAGGGGAGAGTCACGTGACTGGCGCCCCGCTGCGGTGAGACGCCGAAACACACTTTTCGCGAGCGAACACGCGTGTTTCGGGTCCTCGCCGCTGGAAAACCTGTGCGCTGACGTCCAGGCTCCCCGAGAAATAGCTCTCTGATGCTCTGTGCCATCAGATCCTCGCGCTCCAAATCTGCTACCGGGCACTCTATGGCCCCGTCATCAAACTGCCAAGCTTTGTGAGTATAGAGGAGGCTATGTCGAAACGTACTGTTGAAAGAATGCAGTTGGATCGGACTTTATTTCATCATAGATTACTAGAGACAATTAATTTTTTATAACATTTTGAACTGTTAAAAACTGGTTCTTTTACATAACGGAGCAGTATGACTCCTGTACGGTGGATTTTTTATTAAACGTACGATTTGTTTTTGCAGAATGCAAAGGCTCCCTGTATCTGTTTTTGTTGTTGCTCTCCATACAAGTAGGCAGTCGTTAAAATGCGAATGAACCAATTCGCAGTATAATAGTTTTTTTTTTATTTGTTGTGGCAATAAATGTCTAATTCTATAGAAGAGACCAATCGAGCGCGGAATTTTGGTTCTTACTTTAGCTACATGAAGAGACCAGCTTAAGTTTTCGTGAAAGAAAACGCCAAGGAAGTTGTGCGAAACACGTTCAATAATTTCGCCATGCTTATTTGCAATGAGCCATAACGATACTATACAGAGTTCCTCTTAAAAATTAGCAAATATTTAATTTTTTATACTTAACAAAGCCATTTTCGCGGACTTTTGCTTCTGAAAGCCGTACTATTGTTCTGATATACAATGTTTTGTTTCTAGAGCCCTGCTCTCAGGCGCCCGTTTGCGGCTTGTGCGGCGACGCCGTCGCCGCCGGCGTAATTGCACGTTGCAATGGGACCTTTCCTATAATGACGTCATACGTGACGTCATGCGTGACGTCATGAGACCAAAATTTTCCCGCTAAACTTGGCAGAAACATTTTCCTCTAAATTTAGCAGGAAAATGTTTTCGCTAAGTTTAGCAAAGAAATTTTCCCGCTAAATTTAGCGGGCAAATTTTACCCTCGTGAGGTCATGCGTTACCCTCCCCTCCGTACCCTCACGTTCTCCTCAAGAGCTGCGCTCTAATTCGGTATTACAGAGACTTGTAAGTTTTTCGTTTTTTTTTTTTTTTTTAGGTAGTTTAACCGCTCATTCACACTAGAAGCGGATCCGCGTTCGCAAAGCGGTTGCGAACGCGGTTGTATAAAGATCCAGTACAATTGCACGCGCACTCGATGACATCAAGTGCGCGTGCAATTGTAGTCGGTCTTCATACAACCGCGTTCGCAACCGCTTTGCGAACGCGGATCCGCTTCCAGTGTGAATGAGCGGTAAAAGTGGCTTCTTGATAAATTGTTCTAAAATTGTCGAAAAAACTGATAGAACCAAAATTGTTCTATAATGTTTCAACTCATTTTTATCCTCTCCTTTATGCATCACTGGTGCTCTACCAATTTTTAATTTACTTTTTTAATACACCGGTGCCCAGAACTAGGTTACATATGTCACATGTGTGATAGTGGTTGGCTAATCAAGTTGGCAACTGATCTTATTAGCCCCGTGCACGACCGAAAGCGTCACTGTGGTCGGCCTTTCACGATTGGCCGAACGCTGACTATGACGTAGGAAAGGGGATTTACCATCGACGGGAATAAGAGGAACGAAAGAACTTTAATTTCGACGGTGTTGGCAGTGTTGCTTTAAGAGCTCAATGATTTCAAGCTTCCACCATGCTATTTACAAACACCATCGAACTTGTTGTTTGCAATGTAATGACGTAACAAGGGGGATCCATAGGAGGGCGCCACCAAAACATCTCGCCGCTAATAGGTCAAGCTTTTATGCCATCCGCGCTGCAACCACTATTATTCTTTAGTTTTTCTATTAGGTTGCTCATTTCTTATTTTGTTGTTAGAAACATAAAAAAACTAACTTTTTGCGGTTGAAGTGATGTAACGTTCGTACTCAGTAATGCTTGCAGCATTTTTACTCGATGCATAAAACTCCAACAAGTGTTCGTTGAATTTATCAGCAAGCGTAGTCCCAGTGAGAGAGATGCCTTCAACAGTAAGCTCAGCAATTTCACATTTTTTGTTATTTGACATAAAGGGGGTAACAGTATTCTAGATTTCCCAAAAATTATTATACATGTCCGCAAATTTATTTGCATAATATTTTCCTCGTGCTCGCTTAACGTCACGGGATAACTTGTTCCTTTCCCTTTTAAATTCAATTAGATAGTCTGGGTTCCTCGTTTTTATAAATAAACCGTAAAGCTGTTCACAATATTTTATTCTTTTGAAGCGAGGCCTCAATCCAGAGTTTCCTTGATTTCTAGTTTGTTTTGAACTCCGTCATAGGAAAACGCCCTCTCATAAAGTTATTTTATTGTCGTTATAAATACGCCGTACGCTATATTGGGGTCAGCCAATTGCAAAATGTTGTTGCAGCTTGTCTCCGAAACTAACCTTCGAAAAACAAATATGATTATCCTCGTTCATCAATCTATAGGTAATTATTGCGAATGTTGATGTTTTTTTTATCACGTTGTGTCAAGTAGGCCGAAAAAAAATGTCAAGATCCGTAAATGGTCACTACGATCTGATATGAGTACACCTCCCTCTAGCTCTTTCATTTGGTACTTAGTAAAGCACAAGTGAAGTATTGTTTCAGACACGTCCGTCTTCCTAGTGGCTACTTTCAGCACATATTGAAGGCGAAAAGCACATAGAGCATCAAGAGGTGTTTGCGCAGTTGGGTCTAATGAAAACAAATCTGTATTGAAGTCAGCACTAATAACAAAATGAATACCAGTGTGCACACAAGCCTCTAGCATATCTGGAGAAAAATAAGGAAGACGTGCCTTGAGGAAAACAAGACGAGTACCGTAGTGGCACATTTGATGAAAAGAAACTCGGGCGTTATCCTAGAGTATTCGGCCTCACATATCATAATCTAGACATTCTTTCATATATACCGCCACACCTCCTCCTCTCCTATCCTTCCCAGATAGCGACGTACCTCTGTATAAAAAAAAAATAATAATAATAAAAATAAAAAAATGTCGGAGTCATCTCAAAAACTATTTTTTAAACTTCTAGCATTCAGATGCAATAGAGAAAACGGCTTGTTATGCAATGCGCTACAGTGCTTCAGAGAAAGGACATCGTAATAACTGCCATTTTTATATAGCTTGTCACGTCGGTGGGTAGCAGTTTAGATACCTACGTAAAGAAAAAATATTTAACGTACGATTTCCACATCTTTCTCCGTACTGATTTTGATGACTCGGTCATCGGCGCCTCGGCGAAGGAGCATTTTTCCATTCTTTTGCGAAGCAAACTTATATTTCATTTCAGCTGCTTTTGTCCCAATTTTCCAGAAGAGGTTCTTGTTTTGTGCTGTGAGATTTCTATTTAAATTTTTTTTTACTTCGCTTTCCTCAATTTTTTTTTTTTTCGAGCCATGTGTCTCTCGTAAGGCGGGATGCAAAACGCGCAAGAACAGGCGTACTATTGTCAGACCGTCCGGTCCGTGAGGGTACTCGATGAATGGCTTCGACATCCGTTTCACAAAGCTGTGAAAGCTCGAGGTTATTGGCCAGTAGGTTTACTTTGTCAAGCAGATGTTCGTTTACATGCTGGAGCAACCCGTGGATCTCTAAGTTTCGCCGCCAGCTCTACTGCTCTATTTAGTTGACTTTTTGTCTCAGTTTATCGATTCCTTGGTCTCCCTTTCAGTTTTCCCCCCCTCTTCTTCCAGACCGGATATCTCCTGGTTTTGTACCTTCATCTCGGCAATTATTCCGTCATATTTCAACGAGAATCCCTGCACTGAGCGCTCAATGCTGTCGATTGTTTCCTTAATGCCCAGAAGAGTACCTTGTTTCGTTTCTAGCATCGGAATCGGAATCGGAATCTCACTAGCAGTCCCTCTCTCATAGCCACTATTAGTAATTTCGATTTGTTTCAACTTGCTTTGCAAAATCTACATGAATTATTTCATGTAATTGTACTAGTATAAGTGAGATATATTTTTATAGATTTTGTTGTTTATATATATGTGTGTGTGTAGGATAGCGGACTGCATATTTTTGAAGTGTTTAAGTCGTCTGTATCCGGCGTTTTTTGCATTTCCTTTTGTATTGCTTCTCAAATTTTCATCTCATGCTTACTTCTTCTTATCTGCTCTACCACTCCCTCCATAATGCTTATGCCTTGAGGGTATGTAAAAATGAATAAATAAAATAAATATGATCCGTTCCGGTTTCGTCGCCTAGCTTCGATGTCATCTGGCCACTTCGAGCCCTCAACGCCCTACATGTCGTG